CCATCACTGACCGAGTAAGCGTTAGATGACCGTCATAGGACCGTAGGAGAATTTTCCTGCTCGTCTCTCGGAATAATCTATCTCATACATGGACTTCTCTAACGTGGGATGCCACAGTATCGGCACATTGCAGTTGCGCATCGGTAAGCTGCACTATTCCAGTGCGAAGAGAAGATCGTTATATCGATGTTTTCATCGTTTAAGCCAAATAAGATCGACGAAGTTGGCTGTAGTTCAGTTTTAATAATAGACATAATACTTTTTTCTGTGAAAATTCGCCGAAAACCATAAATCTATGCATACCTATCTTTCTAATAGTGGTGATGTGTTTACAGTATAAAAAAAAAAACGTTACTTATCAAACCATAGGTCGAAAATGTTTTTCGAGAGTAGCTGTGCAAAGAATGACAGCTAAAGATCGTTTTGGCAGACAGCGGAGGGAGTACGCTTCAGTTTTTTTCTATTTTAGACTCGTTGGAGATTTCATCGAAACCTGATACAAAGCTTCCGCAGACATAAGATGTAGAGCTTTAACTTTTAGGTTCAAAATGATTGAAGATTTTCTCTTTGAATTGTGTGCAAAGGAACTGATGAGGCCCTAAGAAATCGCGAAACTTTGACATTCGTTACTCGTCTGACATGCGGTGTTTTGTCGCATCTAAAAGCGTTATAAAACAAGCCTGTCGCTGGTACGTACACCCAGTTGGACCGGTAACAACGATAATAATCTATTCACTCGCGTATATATATACAATTTTTAATAGTTCTACCATCTCGCAAACTTGTCTCGGCGACAGAGTCGCAAGGGTCCTTATCACTCACGATCCAATGTCATTGACGTTCGTTTGTGATCGCGATAGGCCCGATTCGGTGTAGTCTTAAGGTAGCTATGAAAAATGGGGGAACCACTGAAAGACTACACGCCGAAATATTTTACATGCCGCGACAACTGGTTAGCCCTTATACAATATATGCATATACGCATGGGGTATTTGGCGGCCACTTCAACAAGGTGTTTTAATTTGAACTTTTTATAAGGCCTACTTCTACATAAGCTGACTTTAGGGTATTTGGACTCGCTGAACTCTGGTATTTTCGCCTTGTTTCCTTGTAGACTCCATCCGCAATTTTTTTGCCGATACCACGGAATTCTACCAACAGAAAACTGTAACACACTCAGACATTTTATTTTCAGTGTGGTCATATGTCAACAATTCGATTTTCGATTTCTTTACTTCATTCAACTACGAAGATTTCGCTGTGCAGCAAACTTTTTTTATTCATTCTTTGGAACGATATTTTTATCTCAGAATGACCATTCCTAACCTTATGTTAAGGTTCACACAAACGCACGTATTATCTAATTGTAAACGTAATTATCTTTTTTCCCGGAATTATCTAGTTTTGACCCGGTAATCTGGATACTTTAAAAATAAAGAGAAGGGCATTCTGTTTTCCAGACATGAGGTCGTCCCGGTCAGCTCGAGCAAAATCATCAGCTGAATATTTAGTCGAGATAGAGTTATTATCGATTGATTACTATGTTTCTTAATCGTCCGTTGATGGGATCAACTTCCTTACGTTGTGTTTCACCTTGTATGATTTCAGGACGATTAAACATATTCTTCTTAATAAACTGAATCACGGCATTCGCGTATGATTAATTTCCGTTCCTTACATAGCCGCTATGATACTGCTATTCATTGCGAAGTGGATTTCAACCGTATGCTCGTTCGTCTTGTCCATCGGACTAGCGTTTATTTTAGACATGTGTAGATATTACAGGCTGTCAGATGGAACTTATGCTTTTACGTACTTTGCTACACTGTGGTACTAACAAAATAACTGAGATTGGTAATTTAGTGCCACGAATGGTCTCGTTTTTTTCTGCTATTAAAATCAGCAGTGGGCATTCCGGGTGTCCTTATAGACGACGCTCTAAGGGTAACGTGGACGACGCTGGCTATAAAATGTTGTGACCAAGACCATTGTTCATGGGTAGGCGCTCTTTGTGTTTAGTCTGTCTTTCTATCTGTATAGGTGCCTATCTGGCAATTTCTTTTTCCTACCTCTTTGCTTAATGAGAGGCCACTTCCGGAGAAATGCTGACTCGCAGTAAAGGGTTCTCGTTCGGTGTCGTTTGTGACGGTCGTCCAGCCATCAACGACCCCTTCATTACAACACTTCACAGGGAAAACTCAGCCTTCCTTGAAGATCGTTAACTGCGCTTGCTTATGACAGTTCCACTCTTGGGTCTATCATGCGTCTATTCAAAGGAACGCGGGAAATACTGAAATAAATTTCACTAAAGGTCAGGTTGATTATGACGTTTTTTCAAAGTATTATGAGGTCATCCTTAAGAAGTACGCAAGTTGAGAATGAGAATCGGTTGTGGATCGCCTATATTTGTATATTTAAAAAATGAATTATCGTTTTTTCTTTTTCGTATCGACTTGGCTATGTGATAGGGAAGAGCAGAGGGTATTCTTTTTACAATAGTTTTGATGTTATTGCCAAGTAGAAGGGGCATTTCTATGGCTCTCAATGGCTCATTAAACAATGTATGTTTCTGAGAACGTGGCTTTCAAGCCGTCTCGAATCGACTATTCGAAGGTGAATGTCAATTGAAGAAGACTCTGAAACGACAGGAAAACAATGAGCTTATCATGTCCGTGATTTACTGATACCAAATGTATCAGAGGGGAAAAACTACATTCCAATAGATATAAATATCTTGACAATTGTACACGATTGGCCGCTACCAAATCCCGCAGCGCCGAGAGAACTTTATTTATCCATAAACACTTTATAAAGACCAGCTATACAATTGAGGCCGGACCAAGGACTGGTGAACGACCTTGATTGGTTCCGGTATGTAGAGCTCGACGATTGGATCTGTTTAAAATGGAACCTTTAACTACTATTAACTAATACTTCTGACCTTTTCACTTGTATGTCAGGAAAAAGTAAGGCAGTGAACGCCAAATGTTTACATGGATCACAGTTATTTGGTAGCAAACGTATAACGCAATATAGATGCTGTGTATAGTTCTTGCTTGCCGAGACGCAAATGACTAAACTTGATGTTATTATGGACCTGCATCCATCGCCTATCATGCGAAAAAAAAAATAGCAACGCGTTAAACAATTGATTGCATCGTTTAGTGATTACATCTATCTATCTAACGATTGTTCGAAATCGACAGGCTCTCGTTCCAGTGTCACATAAAAAACACTAACATTTTATTTTTCTTGTATATGATGTTTATTAAGCCAATGCCACCGAATATCGTGGACCAGCTAAGCGATAACTGTGAAATTTTTACACAGCCAGTGAAGTTTTACCGATGTTTTACTAAGCTAAAACTAATTGAGCTGTTCAATGAGTAAAGAAAATCTAGGACTCCAAGAACGAATTAACTAGCAAAAAGCACGTGGCATAATTTCAAAAAAGTGAATAAATATCTATCTACAAGATCTACATCTTTCGAGCTTGCCTCGAGTTCTGTATATACATTATGTTTATCGCACCGAATGCTATGTTGGTGTTATTCTGTCTACTTTCAAGTTAGTGTCTTTCTTAGCACACATAGACATAAAAATGAATAAAGGAATGTTGCCTATGCTGAAAAGTGTCCGTCGAAACAATCTGTTTTCAGCCATTCACCCATTCAAAGGAATAGCAAAACTTGAATAATCGAAATCAATGCAGCGTAAATTCGGAGATAGCGGGCGTGCATTTCCCGTCTGTGCAATTTGGGTCAGCTTAGAGGCGGCGGGCTACCGATGTTTGCACCATATGCGGAATCCATCTAACCGGTTTGAGAAAAGTAGGCGATCGATGCGACCTGGGTGGGGTGAACGAACGAGGCTCGTAGAAATAGCCTGCGTTTATAGGTGAGACGTTCCACTTGAAAAGATTTGTTAGAAATGCTGCGCCAACTTAAGTTGTCCTCAATAAGCTCTGCGTAAGTCGGGCCGAATTGAAGCTATCGCATGATATGGATTCACCTAAGAAGAATTGACTTTACTAAGCGCGAAACTGGTGGTAGGGGCAAAACTCGGTGGGAGAAACATTTCTCGATTTTATACGCGTGCAAAGTGTGCGAATGTTGAAAGCATAATGAAGTAATATCGGGACAAAGCTATATTTATGCCAGCATTTCAGGGATTGAGTTAACAGAATAAAACCATTTGCTTACCTTCACATCCGCTGTCTTCTCAAGACATAGAATTTAGTAGAATTTAGTAGAAATAGGTATTTAGACATAGAAAAACGAAACATTATGTTGATTTATATTGTATTCATGATTATCACGTTCATTAAACATATTGATCGCATAAGGTTCTTCCTATCCGAATTTTCATTCCACCCTAAACTTTGTTCGACTAATCTAACTAAGGTATAAAAAGTATTTCAGTATTAATTAACTTGTCGATTCGCTCAAATAAGTCACGCATTGACATCAAGAAAACTGTTTGAGCTTACAAGATGTACCCTCTTCCTGGTCGATGAAATCGCGCTGGCTAGATATACCTACTATTTCACCATATAATTTAAGGTAAAGGTTAGGTAAGGCTCTCTGAAAAACCGCAGTTTGCTAGGATCAACTCTCCGCTAGGTAGAATTTCGCCTCAAAATTTAACCGATAGATTACCACACGTGCTGTGCCTGTCATCAAGCTAGGAATGACTTTTCGCGACGTTTACAAATAACACGCTTAAAAAAAAAATGATGTTAATCGCTGTGCTCTCGTTCCTGATCGAAACAGATGTCGATGCCTACTTAACGGACACGGAGAAATGCAAAGACCAATAATTTCGAATGCCGAAAGCCCTTTGTATTGCTCATCATAGACAGACATGGTTGGCAATACGATTCTAGGTATTAGATCACAAGTCTTCGTCGACAGGTATAACATCTAAACGACCCTTAATTAAAAAATGCAACTTTATAACTATTACGCCAATTGTCCAAGTAAAAATAACGATTTATAATAGCTCATTGCCGTAGCATACATTCACACTCTCAAATCAGTACTGGTCACATTCATTCAAATGTCGATACTTACCTATATTTGAATTGGATTATGTTGTTCTAGAAAATCAACACACAATTGGCTCACCTATAGGTTCGTTAGGTGAACGATTCGACATTCATTTCCATTTATGTGTGCTACTTTCTCGTATGCTAGCAAAACCATCTAACTTCGATAGGCCGGCTTTTGTTGTTATTATCATTGGTGTTTATCTGATGAAAAAAATAGCGGCTGCTTGTCCTTTCAAGAGTGTGGACCTCCCACTGCTGCTATCGCTGCTACGTTCGGGAATCCTCTCGATTAAGGCTTGCTTCTCTCGGATATTTAGCATCTAGATAATATTATACTGCTATTCATTTATTGGCCACGTTCGCCCTTCCGGTTGCATTGCCCTCCTTGTTGATACGGAGAAAGACACCGATTCCTTCTCGTCTCTCGCCTGGCGCCTCAACTCCTTTCACGAAATGGAGCTTCAACAGTATCGAGTGCTTCTTTGGAACAAAGAATATCGAGATATTGCTATACGTTAGACACTATGTGCTATGGCAGTAAGCCAAAACACGGCAGTAACATAGCGATGAATAGATGCGTTATTTCCACAGCAGAATATGCCCCAGTCTGGCTGGCCTTGGGCTCAATAAATTTTTGGTTAAACGTCACTGTGCAGTCATATATATAGATATATATCGTCTTAACCGTTCATTTCTGGGAAGAATGCTTTGGAGCAATGTGCCGGCGTCATCGATTCTAAGGTAAATGGAAAAATTCAGTTTTACTCAAGCAGTCAATATCAGGTTTTACTGAAGTTAACGTAAGTTGAGAATTTTTTTTTCAATTAAATTTTACTTCTGCCTTATGAGTATCATCCTAATATACGCGCTACTAGAACGACAAAAAACACGAACAGTAAGTTGCGAACGAGTAATGTTGAACTTTAAGGAGCGCTGATTCTATCCAGGGTCATTGGAACTGTCTTTTTTAGAACCTTGGGATAAACCCAAAAAGAAAAAAGGAAAACAGCAAGCTGTCAACTTGCACCCGCAAAACTTAACTAGTAATGAAATCAATTTGGAGTTGTAGTAGGCAACTTTTCAACTGCCTCCCACTTGTTTTGCTGTTTACCAGTCGCTTGGCCACATAGTAAAAATAATCACTAAATAAATTGAATTAGTTTGATGCGATATGTGAAATCATTTTCCTTACTTTTGAATGGTAATTTCAACGATTCGATGAGGAAAGCGTCTTAATCTATTTAGACTATATAAATATCATCAGAATTCAAAGGTGCCATTCCTAATCGTTATATAAGGACCATTTAAGAGCCTTAATATTTCGAAATAAAAATTGTGGCCTGTTTTTAGTAAACCATGCCGACACGATTTCTGTACTTTAAAAACGCTTCGCAGTTACAGAAGGTTTTTACTGATATTACGCCTTGTTTAAAGGGTTTCTTCGCTCTGAAGTGCAACGCTTCGCCAGCTATTTCTTCCTCATTCCGAGTCACTCTTTAGAGTTTTTAAGGTGTGTAACCACCAGTTCCTCCTGTCTTAATAATGCAGATACTTTCGATTAGCCCAGAGCTTTATGTCAGCATTTGGTAAGAAGCTTACCCATGATTGATAAGCGCAGTAAACGTATACATTACGCCTTGTAATAGTGTTCGATGGGCTAACGAGCTCCATTCATGCTAATGTCCATCAAGGGCAGTTAAGCATTTGAAAGCTGTCTCTTAAGTAGCGTTTCTAGGAAGAAAAGGTCGTCTTACACGGAGTTTCTCTTTAACAACGTCTGGGCAATAGACATAACCATGTGATTATACCGGCACCTAGCCTGAGCATTTGAGACATATAGGACTGTTATTTTCATATAATATCTGTGTTCTGTATGCACGGCGTATCGTACTCTATCCCTAACATTGTACTTAACTCAATTTTTTTTTAATCTTAAATTAACATCGTTTTCGCCTTTATGTCATTTATATTCCATATAT